GAAAATGCAGCATGCAGAAAGGACCACTGTTCATGATGTTCAAATATTTCCAAAATCTTTTCATACTTGTGCATTATTTTCCTTTTTTTCTTCGAGTGAGTGCGGGCAGATGCTGATTGTTGTAACCCATGTTTTGTAATGTATCTATCATGATGTCATTACAAAACCAGAAAAAAATCTTAATTCATCCATAATTGCAGGAAATGTGCCTCCATGCTGTCAGGGCTGTCACATTTCTACGTAGCATGCAGGAGCTTGTATGGTTCAGGATGTCAAAATTGCAGAACATGTATATCTAAATGGCATAACTTGGGTGGATGGGAGGGTTACTGCTTGTTCCATTTTTTCTGTTCTTTGGTCAATGCTGATGCTATCTTTCTTAAAGCATCTTTCTTTGCTCCAAATCTTGCCATGTGGTTGCTATTGCTGCTAAGTGAGTATGCAGCATTCTGTGTGGTATGTCAAAGTCTTGAAGGACTACAGCCTCCATACATGGGGTGCTACCTAACAGCTTGGCCATCGACGCCCTTTTAATGCATCATTATATCAGTTTTTTTTTTCTGGGAGGCTGACAGCTCGTCCAACTTTTTTGAGGTCACCGCTGATTCATTATTTTCTTGCTATAAAAGAAAGATTCTTGAGTCATCTTTCATTACTGTAAAATTCACCTTAGGGATGTCAGAGCTGTCAGAGTGTTTATGCAGCATGCAGCAGGGAGCATTGTCTTTTCATCTTAAATGCATTGTTTTTTGCCGATTCATTATTTTATTGCTACTATGGAGACTATCTTCATTGCTGCAAAATTTGCAATGAGGCTGCTCGATCCATGTTTTCCTGCAGAATGTAGCAAGGAGCATGATAAGGATGCCTGTAGTCCACCACATCTACGTCTTAATTGAATCATTTTTAAGGGGCTGACGGCTTTTCCAGTTTTGTTGTTATTACTGATTTATAAAGTCGTTGCAAACACAAAAATGAGCTTTGTAATGTTTATCCAGCTTGCAGTAAGAATCATTGTTCAGGATGTAAGAATTATGCGACATCAAAATTATCTTAAATGCATTCTTTTAGGGGGGAGGGGTGCTTGGCCCACTTTTATTATTTCATTGCAAAAACAGAAACAATCATGAATCATCTTTCTTAGTGGAAAAAACATGCTGTGTTGCCTCTAAGGCTGTTAACTGCAGAGATGCATATTCATGATGTCTAAGTAATGCAACATCGCTCAACTGAAATGAGTCTTTTTTTTTAATGATTTTCTTCTTTTGTTTTGGAGGCTGACAGCTTGTCCGATGTTTTTATTCTAACTATAAAAGGGACAATCTTGTATCATGTTTTTATAGCTGCACAGTTTGCCTTTGGGTGTCAGAGCTCTTTAGTGTTTCTGCAGCAGGGATCGTTATTCAGGATGCCCCAAACAACAAAACATGTCTTTTATCTTAAGTTCATGTTTTCATTCTTGGGGTGTCTTATTGGCTTTTTTGGTCATTGCTGGTTCATTATGTCTACTATTACAGAAAGGATCTTGAGTCATGTTCCTTTGCTGTAAAGTTTACCTCAGGGCTGTCAGAGTGTTTATGCAGCATACAGCAGGGAGCATTGTACAGGATGTCCAAACAATGCGGCATCTTTTCATCTTAAATAGATTACCTCTTCATTGCTTTTCACTCACCGTGGGCAAACAAAAAAGAAGAAGCTCTTGCGCGTTCAGCGGAGAGAGTCTGGGAGGGAAGCCGAGGCATTAGCATGTGAGGCGACAGACATCAGGAGAGTTAATCTGCGAAATGATGAGGCCACCTGGCAAGGTCAGAGGCAACCCTCCCAGGACGAATGAGCCGCCTCATCAGGCATGATGGATTCCCTCCTTTTGTGAAAAATGTGGCAAAGGTGTCCTCTTGATTACATCCATCACATTAACATAAAGACAAACAGCGTCATCAGTCCCGGGGATTGTTGCGATAAAGGACAACTCAAATAACAATATGAGGGCGTTCAGGGTTCTGTTTGATGCTCCATGATGATAATTCTCACAGTGTATAACTCCTACTTAATGTGATAGATTTAATCTCGTCTCGCAGAGGTCTGTTTGAAGTGCGTTCTGTATTCCAGTCAGCAGTGTACAGTGCAGATGAATCTGCAAAAAGCCTCCCTGCGGCACATCATTACCTCTGGAAGCACCATCAGGGAGATCCCTCAAACTTAACTTGTTGGAAGGCTGCAGGAGCTTCATGGGGTGGCTTATACAAGCAGTGTGAGGTATTAGAGGTTGCGGTCTTTCAGTTTGGTTGCCTGTTGTAAAAGAGAACAGTTAGAGGTTGTTCTGGTTGGAAAAGGGGGAGGAGTTTATTGACAAATGTGTTATTAATCTCAATAACTGTTTTTCACAGCCAGGTTTTTTTTGATGGTATCATCGATACCCAATCTCTCTTGAGAGATTAAAGGAGGCAGATAGCTGCTCCGAATGAAGATGTGCTGTATAAATAATGCATCCATTGTTATCTGCAAAATATATCAGAATCTGACTGAATACGTTAACACAGCAGATTATCTTCTGTTCACATTGCAGAGTTTTCCTGTGTTTGGAACTGTGAGCTTTTGCAAACATATAAAGGGCAACATTTGTGCAGCTCTTTCATTCCCCTTAAAAAAGGCAAACTTTAGGTATTCTTCTATATTTTTGCTGTTTATTATTTTATTGATTTAAGTGTCTTGACAGGAGGAAAACTCTTCTTTTGTAGCTTTTGTTTTCTATACATATTCCTTGAAAGTTGAAGCCTTCTTGCCTTCAAACACTGGCACTGATTACGACACGTCCGTGAAGGACATCTTGAAAATGACTCTACTGGTGCATTTTGATTTGTTCATTATTTTACTTTCTGCACAGATGTCGGTGAATTGCCTCAAGGAGACGATATTCTGTTTATTTGTGACAAAAGTTTAAAGTCTGAAGGAATCAAAATGACCTTGGCGAGTGAATTAGTTTTCGAAGCAAAGAGTGGGTGTGAGTGGGACAACAAACACTTTGCTTCAATTCACAGGTTAGTGAACAAGTATGGAGGCTATCAGGTTTTGACAGGAACAATAGAAAAGTAAAGTGTTGCTGTGTCTGCATTTGTGCACTCCAGTAAACACACACACACACACACACACACACAAGCGTCATGGTAGCTGGTGAGGTGGAGAAGAGGTTGTGTTGTATTGGATGTCAGATCTGCCCTCTTTCGTCCTCTGTTTGGCTTCAGCCTGACACACTTGATCACCACATTTTGAACTCGGATGTCTGATTGATTACCTTCAAGTTCAATTAAACTGTGAAAGCAGCTATTTTTATCTGGAAAACAGACAGAGCGACATGGGTGACCTGAAGGCCTTCGCTCAGATAAGAGTCTCCCTGTGAAGGCTTTTAGTTCAGATCCACTCCGAGAATAATCTGATAATCTATATATGTGCAGAGTAAGAGTCTTTCTTTAGGCTATGGTTTCTTTCTTTCTTTCTGTCCGTCAGTGATTTTCCACTTTAAGTGTCCACTGACGATGCTTTTTGTGCCGTCAGCGCCCACATCCTCAGATTCAGAGCGCTTTCCCAGCGGCACTAATTGTTGCTTGGTTACAAAATTCAGCTTCCGCTTCCCTTGGTAGTGACCGTTAGCTCTGTTTTTAATAGCTGTTTGTGCTTCATGTTTTCCTTCATCATGTTAATATCTACAAGAAGACATGGAAACAATGTAAATGAGTCATGTCCTCCACCATTCTTGTTTTTCCATTTTGATTGGTCGGTGAGGGTGAGGTGAGGTGACATGGACAAACGAGGCCTTGTTCTAAAAGTTCAACTAATTTCAGCTAAGAGTGCTGTGTGCGACCAAAACATACAGGGGTCCCTCGTCACCCTTATGTGATAAATTATCTGCTCAAATTAGTTTCATTTCAAAACATAAATACAAAGAACAATAAAAACATTATGATGTAATCCTAGCAAAGTTATGTTATTCTAGTGTCTTTTCTTCATATTTAGGGCTAGAACTGCAACATTTAGTCGTTTCCTATTTGTTGAGTGAGTGCTGTCAGATGGGGTCCATTTAGGGGGCTTTCCAACTGTAATTGCAAACTTGTCACATTTTGAGCCACTGTCCCTTTGGGCCCTTTTGTGCTCAGGACGCTGAACCTAGAAAATTTCAACAAAGGATACCCATGCAGGACGTTTTATCTAGATATCCCAAATGGGAATGGGCATATGTATTAAGTTGGGACCTACTGAAAAAACTCTCTTCCATACCAATAACCCAAGAAGAAGAACGAAGAAATCAACCATTGTTATAGGCTGCATCCAATCCATCTCAATTGAGGTCAGCATATCCAAAAGATGTAAAAGTTGTTAAAATTGTAACTTTGTAACTGTTATCTTGACCCGGTTTCACTCCTATTAGACGTTGCATATGTGTCATTGTTAACCTGAGTTCTTATTTTGACCGTCTTCCCACAAATTGCAGATTTAGAGCTAGAATTGCAACATTTAGTCATTCACTATTTGTTAAGTGAGTGGCTTTTGAGTCACTGCAGTGGTTTGTCAGCCCTCGGAGGTCCCCTACAGGCCCGGGGCCCCAAGCAGTTGCCTGCCTTGCCTGACAACCAGCCTCTGAACGCAGGGACAAAAAACATGGTGCTCTTTTGTGCTCAGGACGCTGAACATAGAAAATGTCAACAAAAGAGCCCATGCAGAACGTGTCATCTAGATATCTCAAATTGGTATGGGCATATGTATTTGGTCTACCCACAAAATGCAGATTTAACTTAATAATTATACTGCATAGCTCTTTAGTGGGCAAAACTGTGGCTATAGGGGTACCTACAGCAGCAAAAGGTGCAGTGTAGAGCCACTTTTGAGCAGTTAGATACTTGGAAAATGTGATTGATAAGCTGTTTTCCCAAAGATTTGCCTGAATAAACATTGAAAAACATTGATATTTTGAGCTGTCAGTGTTACATGTTTGTGTCCATCCACAGGAGAAGACCGCGTCAGGGAGAATGTGGTGGGCACAACAGACACACAAGCAGCGAACGGCACAGCTGGAGCAGAGTCCGGCTCCAGCAGACGGAAGCTCCACTGCTGCATCCGAGTGACGACCGTGCAGGTACAGAAGGCCCTGTGGGGGGTCGCCATGGTGATGTGCGTGTGCTCGTCCTGGGCAGGCTCCACCCAGCTGGCCAAGCTGACCTTTAAGCAGTTCGACGCCCCCTTCACCCTCACATGGTTCGCCACCTCCTGGAACAGCCTCTTCTTCCCCCTCTATTACATCGGCCACCTGTGCAAGAGTCCGGAGAGGCAGACGCCCAGACAGAGATTCAGGTGAGGAGGCTTTACCTGCATCAGCAAGTAAACATTGTTAATGTAGCATTTTTTTAAAACAGATGTTTGAAAGAGGGGGTAAACTTAAGCCCAATGAAGAAAGCTGGTTTTGATTTGGTTTCTTTAAGACATCTTTAAAGGCTGTTTTAGAATCAGCAACATGAATGTCACGCTCCTTGACCTTGAAATAAGAACCTGAGAGTCTGCTCTGAAGGCCAGAGTCAGACAGCTTTCATTTAATCGCTTGTATTTCTTGGTGAACTTCAAAATCCATCCTTAACAGACAAAATGGAGTTAGTTAGTGAGAGTTTAAGGCCAATCAGAGCTGTAAGGAACAAGGAGAACAAGATGTAACAATAGTCAAGGTCTGGATAAGCTTTCTGAATTTTGAAGTAGTTTCCAGTTTTCAAAATGTTCCTGAAATCAGAGAAACCAAGAGTTAACAAATTCAAGAGTTGGTTGTGATTAAAAAAAACAATCAAAGCAGCTGACTCTCAGTGTCCTGAACCTGCTGAAATGTAAAAATGTATCTGAAGCCGTGTTCAGACATGCACAAAAAAAACGTCCTGAAAAAAGAGTTTCTCTGGCCAGCCCCTTTGTATATTTTCATCAGAAAGTTCACCTCGAGCCAGGAGGGTGTGGTGACATTTATACCCTTCAATCAGTGTGTGACCAAAGACTTTATGTTGCAATTTCCGTACATGTAATACTTGCTTCACTATATTTTCTGTTCACCAGTACGTTCTTCTCTACTCTTTTGTTGATATTGTGAGTCTGTGGAACTACACATAGCATTGATATAAAGACAAATATTCTCATTGTAGCGTGCTGCAGTGGACTCTTTTGCTTTGTCCAAAACTCCCGCGTCGTTCTTTTTATGTCATGTCTTGCCTCAGGTCCCCCACTGTCCCCTTCCAGTCTGACAGGGTGTGAGGTATGAGGTGCATGTGTGAACAACAACATCAGAAGGATTTCAGGGGAAGTCCTCCTGACATTATCTAGACATTTCCAGCAGAGCATGTAGAGCTCTGAACGTACAAAACTGTGGACAGAGACGTTCCTATAGCGTCTCTCATGTTGTTCTGTTTAAGAAGGAGTGTAGCATAACTTTTAGGGCAAAAAAGCAGCAATACTATAAAAGATCAACCTTCAGTGATGTTGCACTTTTGTTTTCTTCAGTGCTCAGGTTTTTTTTTTTTTTGTTGTACTGCTTCTTCTTATTATTGTCGTTGTAAACAAGCCGAAGACACAAAAGTTGATGTGTAGTCAGAGTATTTTTTCTGCAGGTTCAAATAGAGACGACTTGGAGGAAAAATAGAAACCATATCTGTCTCGTCAACTACAAATAGATTTGTTTTCTTTCGACACTCACGAATGATGCACAGACGTCAACAATCACACAACTGGGAGAGAAAGCACTTTTCCATCAGTAGCAGCAGCAACAGTAGACAAGAATACAATTAGAAATCATTCTGCAGAAAGTTGTTTTCTTCACTGATAACAAATCTCACTATTCTTCTTGATGCAGATAAAACATGCAGCTGAAATGCTCGGGCACGTCCTGTAGAGATTGACGAAAAGCCCTGTGAGAAATATCTGTATGCAGTTGTGGCCAAGCTGAAAAAGGTGTTCGAACGCAAGCCTGAGGGGTCAACATAACATAAATCAGACAGGAAAAACAACATTTCAAATGTTTATTTTTAACCCCATGACTTTCCCTCTCCCATCTTTACCTCTGCCGAACAAATTGGGCCTTTCAAGAAAGGAGTAAGATGTGGAAACCTTACTCTTTGGTTGAAGTAGTTGGACAATTTAAACAAGAAGATCAGGAAGGATTTTTTAAAAAGCAAGCAGAATAAAATTATGAAATGATTATGATGATTATGAGGGAATTAAAGGTCACATATTCTCCTCCTTTCTGACCAGTTTAAAAAAGTCTCAGAGCTCTCCAAATACATGTGTGTGAAGTTTCTTGTTCTAAATCCACTCTGATCCTGTGGATTTAGAACCCCTCTATTTCAGCCCTGCTCAGAACAGGCTGTTTCTGTGCCTGTACCTTTAAATATGTAAATGAGCTGTGTGTGACCACGCCCTCTCTGGAAGGGCTTGGGTGTACTCGGTGCTTTCTCGCTCCATGTCCTATTGTTTACGGTGAGAAGGCAGACTCAGAGGGCAGAACAAACACCTAGCTGTGGGAGTGTCACCCACCTGGGGGAGGGGCTACTGCCCTTTGTGATGTCATGAAGGGACAATCTCCAAACCACCTGTTAACCTTTTAATATAGCCATATATACAAAACCTGGTAGCGAAACCGCCCAGATCTTTTTTTAAACAAAAGCATGAATAAATACATGGTTAGTGCGCGCTCCCCATGTACGGAGGCTGTAGTCCTCCAAGCGGGCGACCCTGGTTCAAATCCGACCTGTGGCTCCTTTACCTGTCGTTCCCCTCTCTCTCTCTCTCTCTCCCTGATTTGTGACTCTATTCAGTCTGTCCTGTCTATAAAATAAAGGCATAAAAATCTACCAAAACTATATCTTTGTACAAAAACGTGAGTTGCACCAACATGACCCCTTTGATAACAAAGGTCAAACTTCAAAGCCCGGGTCTGAAATGTTTCTGACAAGAACTTTCAAAAACCCAAAAACCTTCTGTGTGAGAAAGTATATGTGTTGTGTTTATTGTTAGAACAGAAGCATCCTCATATTTAAGAGAGAAAGTTGGAGTTGTTTGCTTGTCATATTTGCTGGTTATACTGTATATGTACAGTCACTCCCCGTTCATATCTGACTTCCAGCTAAGCACTCCACTTATTTAATTTGTACTCTCAGCTTCCTGGTCATGTTTAGTTATTCTGCTGCAGCAGCGAGCAGAAAGAAAGTCATCTTAGGTGTGTCAGAAGAGCTCCCACAATTCAAACAGTCCATTAATCACAGTCTTTAAACAGAAGTCTTATCTCTCCTATACTTGCTGTGCTGCTTTAGCGCAGAGAGAGAGACCATGACGGTGGTGGAAGGTCCCGGCTCTGTATCTCTGCAGCACCTCTGTGATGTAATCCTTTGCTTTTCTGAGGGCTTACACCAGGAAACTGGGGCTCCTCGACCAAAAGCTGATGTGTTCAGAATATGAATCCCTCTGTTTCCCTTGTAGTTAGAAACGCTCCCGGTGAGTTTCAGAAAATGCAGAGGAAAAGAGATAAGAGTTGACGTTTGTATCAGCTGCCCGTCCGTTCTCTGCAAAACAGCAGCTAGAGTAACAGAAGACCTGACGTTGGTGATGTATTTTCACTGTAACTGGATGTTTTCTTTGGAAGCTTTCTGCTGTATTGACTTTCAATTCAAGAATTATAATTCTCCTTCTGTTCATGTTTTGCTTCTTCTCTTCTACTGCAGTTTGAGAAGCTCCTCTAGTCAGCGCCGTAAGAGTGTAAATATTAATAGAAAACTCACCCATCTGTTACAGCAGGGGGATCCAGACCCTCCCTGATTGGCCACTCACAATTTTGATTTCAGCTGTTTCTTTCAGTGTCTGTAAAGAAACGATGAAAGACGTAAATGCAGCTGTCACTGAATGCAGCTTTGTGTTTATGAAAGCAGGTTGTGAAAAGTGCGTTTTTTTAGTGCAGACTCGGCGCGTTTATAACAAAGCTTGTTCCTCTTCAGTCACTCCGATAACTGTGCCACCTGCCAATCCTCGTTTTCTGCTGCTGCTTCATTGCTTTCCACAGGGCCGGATTTTTTCAGGGGAGAGCAACGTAAACAGAAGCTGTTGAAGTGCAATGATGTTGTATTCTGACCCCTGAACATATCAACACACTGTAACGTGAGGGGACAGGATCTATAAGTCTGGAGTGTTTTGATACTGATACATGATGTCACCGTTTGGTTCCTTTCTCACATTACAAAGAGTGTGAAACATCGACTGTCAGGCCAATAAATCTCGAGTTTCTGCATTTATCTAACAGCTTTTTTTTTTATATCCATTTCAAATATTCAAAACCCCACAGCTTCTTCTTTGTGTACTTAAAAACTCCTCTTGACAGTCACAAGGACAAGACTTCAAATAAAAATCACATATGCTTTATGCCTTAGCTTCAATGATGGTGGGGAATGCTAGCATTACAGTTTCATCTCTTATGATATAATAAAATGTCAAAATGTCCCAATTTTGACTCCAAGTATCCAGTACGACCGACCTGACACATTGTTAAATATTTATCCAACCTTTATTCTACTTAATACATTTCTATGATCTGTTTTCACACATGCACTCTTGAAAATGTCAGGCAGGCTTCCCCTGAAATCCTCCCATCATGACGTGAAAAGAACGACACAGAGTGGGGTGGACAAAGCAGCGGAGTTGGACTCTGTAATGAGAGTTTTTGCCTTTATATCTGGTGTTAACAAAAGAGCAGAGGATATAAGGGCAAACAGAGATGATTCAGTTTTATTATGTGCACAGAGATCCAGAGATGGTCGTGCGGTGGTCACAGGATATAAACATGATCACCCCTTCCCCGTGGCTCGTGGTGAATCCTCCTGAACATGTCTGATAGAACGGACTGGGTCTAAGATTACACATTCTATTAATCCCTGAGGGAATTTCTGGTTTACACTCTGTCATGCTTCTCACACACATAGGCCCAAAATATACACACATGCACCATCAGGAGCTGTGGACATGCACAAGATGGAGGGATGTCAGAGTGGGGCTGCAACACTCTACTACACAGGGAGCTGATAGGGGTTGGGTACCGTGCTAAAGAGCCATCGGCAGTACACAGGAAGTGACCTGGCACCTCTGCAGCTACCAGACCAACTTCATTTTTTTTTTTTTGATGATTGATTGAATGTTTTATCATGATTTGTTCTGCAACAAGGCATGTACGTTCACTGGTCAGATAATCCTTAATCCTCTACGTCCTTAACTTCTTTGGTAAAAAAAAAAAAAAAAAGTCTAGTTTAAGGTGACACTGCGGCCTATACAGAGATAATGGAGAAACATCTTTAAAGGCATTTTAAGGATTGACAAAAATTAAACATCCACACAATTAAACGTTGGAGCTACTTGACGTTTCAGGATTCAGTAAAGAACATAAATAGGAAGACAGTTCGTGTACCCTGTGAATATGCTGAGTCATCATGAGATTTAACACATGCATACGTCCTGGAAACAGTTATTTGTGTGTGTCCCAACTGTATTCATAAATCATTCAAATGTTTCGGCCTCCAGCATGTAGGACATATGGACCTTCATATCCAGGAAAGTGAACACTCAGTTTTGTCAAATAACACTGAGAAGTCTAAAAAAAGCTCCATATTAGTTGTAGTGTTTTGATTGGTGGGATGTTTTTATAAACATATTGTATCTGCCCTCATTTAAGCTCACACTGTCAAGCAGGAATTGGCAAAGACAGATCATAAAACAAAACGCCTGAGGAAGAGATCAATAGTTTAGTGTCATGACTGGAAACAGCTCAGATTCATCTCACTCGATCTCCAACTTTTAGTACCTCGTGGCAGATCTGATTTGTATCTGTAAACATTTACTTCTTCTCCAGCAGAGTGGAGTTGTTTCCACATGCACTCCAATGCAATAATTACTTAGATGTGACTGTTACAATGGGAATTACTTTACACACTCATTACTGATCACTGATTAAAACCTCTGGTCTCTGTGGTATCATTATTTCAGCAGAAGCTATTTATATTCATAAACATTGATTTAAAAAACTCCCACACTGTAATGATACCCATCAGTTTTTAATTTACTTGTCCAACATGTTTTTAATATTCTAATGCCGTGCTCTGCATTTTGCCTCTGCTCAGGGAGTGCTGTAGGTTTTTCGGGGACGACGGGCTGACGCCCAAGGTGTTTTTCACCAAGGTGGCGCCCTTTGGCCTCCTGTGGATCCTCACCAACTACCTGTACCTGCAGGCCCTCAGGAAGATCAACACAACAGACGTGTCGGCGCTCTTCTGTTGTAACAAGGCCTTCGTCTTCCTGCTGTCCTGGATTGTACTCAGAGACCGCTTCATGGGGGTCAGGGTGAGTTCAGCAGCCCGTGTGTGTGTGTGTGTGTGTGTGTGTTTTTTTGTCTAGTCTTTTTTTTTTCTTCTTTTTCCTGAGAGAAAAATGTTACTGCTGCAGTTTTTAGTCACAAAAAAGCAAAGAAATGAAAGATTTGTGCTTCAGGCTACACATCTGTGGCAACCGTTACCTTCAATATCCAACAAAATAACCAACACACTGCACAGTGGTGCATCGGTTAGAGCTGTTACCTCACAGCAAGGAGGGTCTGGTTCAAATCCCTGTCGGGCAGGAACTTCTCTGTGTGCAGTTGCATGTTCTCCCAGTGCTTCAGCTTCCTCCCACAGTCCAAAGACATGCTCGTTAGGTTAACTGGTGACTCTAAATTGCCTTTGAGTGTGATTGGTTGTTGCTTGTTGTCTGCCTCTATATGTCAGCCCTGTGATTGGCTGGTGAACAGTCCAGGGTGTAACCCCGCCTCTCACCCAATGACAGCTGAGATCAATCCCAGCACCCGTTGACCCCGAAAGAGAAAACGCAGTATGGATAATGGATGGATAGATAGTTTTAATGCTTTGGCTTTATAGAAAAAAATACCATATGACATTTGGCCAAACTTTGTGTCCATTAAGAACAGAGAGGTCAGGTTTCTGATGGCTACATTGAGAATTGAATTTTCATTTGATCATCCTCTTTACCTTAAAAACGTGAAGTCTCTTGGTGTTTTCACACTTATGTACTCAAAACTGTTGTGAACTGAAAGTGAGCTGCATGTGTAAACTGTTCTGTGTTGACACTGGTGCTACGCTAGAAAGATTCTGTTGGTGTGATAATAATAATAATACTTTATTTGTATACCACTTTTCTATACATGTAACAAAGTGCTTTACAACAGAGTAAAAGCATTTTTATAAAAGAATGAGTAGGGATGTAAAACAAGGGACTGAATCTGCAAGTCTGATCTCCTCTGGCAGGCTGTTCCAAAGTCAGTTCCAAAGTGTTACAGTCTAAGTAGGTGACATACCTGCTGCACACAAGATGGTGATTTTTCAGTGATCTTTATGGTCTCTGTCTTGTTTCGGAGCACTCTGGTCTTGGGTATGTCTTGGTCTCAGTTAGTGTGGTCTTGACTACAACACTACTCATTCGTCAATACCGTTGGGAGGGATTTCATTAGTTAGTATTAGAGCTCTAAAAGTGTCACATTGTCAAAAGGACCAAGCCAAAGTTAAAGAACAGGCTGATAAAGTATCTCAAAGAAGAGGTCTGTTCCTCCTGCTTCCCTCTCCTATCGAACGTATCACTTTGGATATCTTTGCTTCGTTTTCAATTTGTATTCTTTTTCATGAAATCCATGGCACATATTGACCCACCAGTATGTCACGATCCCTTAAAGGCAGTGCTGCTGTAAAGACTTGCAGTGCAGCTTGAGATGACAAGATAACCTTCACTTGACCTGAAGCTTTTAATAAAGAGCCTCTTTGCTTTAGTAGAAAACACCAATTGAGGCTGTGTGCAACCCCTTCCCAAACCTGCATATAGGTTTTAAAGATTCTAGGGATATTAGACATTTCAAGATACTCCAAGAAGTAACAACACCATCAGCAAAAATAACAATATAGGCACGACCGACTCAGTTGTATTGTAGCGCTCAAAGTGAGAAGGGTTGTCACTAATTTAACTTAGACATGGTACTAGTAAAAATCATATAATATGAATATCTGGTTTGAAACCAGGAAAACTCCTGCACATTGTTTAAATTGCACTTAAACAAAGGCAAAAATGTTGCCATTGTATTTATGCAATTTTGCTTTCTCTAGCGGCAGCTGGTAAAAAAGCATTTTTTTAAATCTTTGTTTTAATGAGTGATAGCATCGCAAAGAAGTCAAACATTTTGACAACCTTACTGTGGAGAGTCCCCTTTATTGTGTCATGTTCACTCATGAAGGTGAAAGGATTAAGAGTATAAACCCCCCACAGGAGTGCAGATAATGTGTGTTTTGTTGCTCTGACTGACTTTCCATTTGAAGGTGTGAGCTGCACACAGCGCGTTGGAGTGGGTTTACCTGTGTGACAGCGTGATTTCCCACCAGTGATCACTGTGTCATTCAAATGTACCTCCTGGAGTGTGTGTGTGTGTGTGTGTGTGTGTGTGTGTGTGTGTGTGTGTGTGTGTTTGTGTCTGCATCGTGGTGTGTGCCATGTGTAACTGATTCTTTCTGCATGAGGTATCTCTCCTGCTCTCCTCCCGCTGCTCTCTTCAGAAGCCTTCATATCTGCAGCCCGTCCTGCACTCCTGCAGAATGAATTTCCCCCTTTTTTTTTTTGTTTCTGTCACACACTCCCAACCATCTCATCTACTCCCTCGTGCATGCCCCGACTCCCCAACCCCCATTATCTGCTATGAAAGGCCTCAGAAAGAGACAAATACTGTAAAATGTCTTCTCTCTCGCTCTCTCTCTCTCTCTGTCTCTCGCTCTCTCTCTCCCTGTCTTTCCACCCCCATCTTCTCTCTCTTTCTCTTTCAGTGGGAAGGATTGCAGTGTTTGTACGTCTGCAGCAATGCAGGGGATCTTGGATGAGTTTGTCATGAAAGTAAAGGAGTGGAGAGAGAGAGAGAGAGAGATGGGGATGGGAATGCTAAATCATTCTGGTTAAAAAGCAATGTTTTTGGGACATTGTGTGCATGAAAATACGGCCATTTAGAGGCTTAGTTTGGAGGCAACAGCAGCACCAGAAACCACCAGGTTGGATGCTTATAAATAAACAGACAAGTGTTGGTTTATGTGGGATTTGTGGCTGGATTTATCAGTCATAAAGGGAGTTAGATACGGCCTAATCCACATCGACATACTGCAGTAATAACACTGTAATCACATAAGCCACTCTGTTTGCAGGTGGCATGATCCTTTTCCGTCGTCGTGCTGAACCCATCTCGAGAAAACAAAAACACGGGACACATGCCGGGTCGCTGACCTTGTAAGCAAACAGCCCTTCGCACAAATGGAAGGTGTGTGTGTGACTGACGGGGCTGCCTGCAGTGCAGAAAGAGCCGTTTTCGCTAAAGGCGCCCGGGGGGGGGCTTTGTCCGAGCAAAAACACGCAGCTCATTTATCTTCCTGACACCTCCTTTAATGCAGCACTCATCCACTCGGCTGGACTGTGCCCTGCCGCTATTTATCAGCCCAGCACACAACTACGTTCACGTGCACTTTAAGATCAAACTAAGACATGTGCTGCAGAAGTGTTAAAGGGATAGTTTGGAGGTTGTAAAGTGGGGGTGTATGAGGTGTCGGTCATTAGGCAGTTTATTACAAGCTGCAACCTGACGAGCTAAATGCTACAGTTCCTCTAGTGTCCACCTGAGGCTGGCTCCACTGTCTGTGGTTTATTGCAGACAGTAGAGGTCGGTCAGCACAGGCTCTGCTTGGAGAAGCTGGCTGAAGTACACACAAGGTAGCTGAGTTTTGTAATGCTCTGGATGTGGTTTGTTGCAATATGTACGTTAGCCTTTTTAAAAAGAAAACATTGGACCACTTGCCGTCGGTTAGGTCGCATGTCACTTGTGTACAAAGGTCAGATTCCTCGTTGCAGCTGCATGTCATCCCCCACTCTCTCCTACCAACTCTCTTCAGCTGTCCTATTTAATAAAGGCAAACTGGCCACAAAAAATAACTTCAAGAAAAATATAATTGGACCGAAACAAAAAAAAAGTTGGGCGTTGAGTTGGTAGAGCAGATGCCCCACGTCCAGAGGCCACAGTCCTTGACCCAGTGGTTGCAGGTTACAGTCTGGATTCTGACAATGTTTGGTGCAAGTCGTCCCCACCTCCCCCTCTCTCTCTCTCTTACCTTACCTGTTCTTCTAGAGCAGTCTTATCCAGATTAAGGTAAAAGCCCTCTGCGTCTCTTCTTTCCTTTCTCATCTGAAAAAGTTATCTGTGTGTACTCAGGTTCATGATAAGTATCATTATTTTTTTTAATCTCAACCTTGCATTGCATTTCAATTGTTATTTCATATTTCATTGTATTTCTAGTGTCTACCATAAAAGTCTGACCAAACAGCTGGACTGATACGGTGCACTGCTTGGGACAGGCAAGTGTCAAAGGTCAGGGCTGTCTGACGTCAAGTTGAAGCTGTGGAAATGTACAGAAATGTAGCTTGTACTCAAAGTCTTTGGTCGGTCCTTAAAGTAATTTTTTCTCTTAAGCCTCTCCACTGTAAGACATACTTTAGATTCCATGTATGTTTGTACTCTGGCTGGCTTCACCAAACAGGACAAGTGCTGAATGCAAATACTCTGAAAATATCCCTATTGAAAATATCTGGACTGTCCCTTTAAGCACAGATGAAAGATGCTGGCTCTGATTCTCCTTGGCTGGTGGGATGAAAGAGATGGCTTGGTGCTGTTTTGAAGCTGTGTAAATTCCAAAGACAGGGAGTGGGAGTACGAGATGGGGGTTGGTGGACTAAAGGGGGGGGGGGGTTTGTAAACATGACAGCGTAGTAACAATGATCAATGTCAGACAAAGACACCAACGCTGCAGAAGGCTGCCTGTCCTGTGTTGGAAGCACATGAATGTTTGATGTCTACATGATAGTGTTTGCCTTAAAATATCAAATGCTGCTGCCTGTAAAAGAAAAACCAACAGATTAATTATATCGTTACAAGCCGCGTCCTGTTAGGCTTGTGATTTCTGCAAGTGTAGGCCATGTGGGCCTGCTGTGTCCCCCCACAGCGGTGAAGGCTCGAGCGTCTTTATCACCTCACTGTTGGCAACATGTCCATCCGTCATCCGCTGATCTCTCTCTCTCTCTCTCTCTGCAGATCGTAGCTGCTATCTTAGCCATAGCAGGCATTGTAATGATGACCTACGCTGATGGATTCCACAGCCACTCCGTCATCGGCATTACGTTGGTCGTGGCCTCGGCTTCAATGTCAGCGCTTTACAAGGTATTAGTTTGCATTTGAAACACTTTAAGAACTTAATTACTGAGCTTGTGTGCTTTTATCCACTCCTCTCTTGAGTTGAAACTGGCGGCCTGGGGGCCTCATGCGGACCCCGTTCTCACTTAATGCGGCCTGCAAGTCAATTTCCATATATCAATAACTTGTAAACATAAAGAAAATATGAAATAATCTGTTGCCAATAGAACATGTACAAAGACCAAATCTATGAGAATATGAAAAATATAAATCTTTCTTTAATCTTTAATAACTGGTATATGTTTTGTTTTTTGTAAAAATGTAGTAGATACCATTGTTGCAGTAAATGTTTCTGTTAATCTCTGTTATTAAGCAATACATTTAAAATCAATAGTCAAGTAAGAAATATCTGCTTTAATAACCATTAAAGACTCTGTTCACTGTACTGAAAAAGAGGCTTAAATGGGCTTTAATTCTGTGTTTTGGCATTAATTATGCATTTATTTTAATATTTGCGTATTAAAAATATAAATGTTGGGATAATAGATCTGATGAAAGCTGTATTTTTGTTCCTTTTGTTAAATTTGAAGTAATTATAATTGTCTAATTGAGAGTATCGTACAATCTGTAACAACTCGGCCCTCTGGCAGTGAGAATAAAATTAATGTGGAGACCAAAGTTTCCCAACTCGCATTATTTCTTAGAGTATGTGTGCAGAGACAGAAGCAGCTTTCAGATTAAGACCAACTCTGAAAATAAACGATGTAGGAATAATTGAACAGCAGAAGATATTTACCTTCCTTTTTTTTAACCATTTTTGGCACGTGATTTGTTTAATCAGGTTAAATAATGATTCACCTCAGTCCTTATACATGTGTGATCTTTTTAACCTCACAGATTTCTAAGCACTATTGCAGGTAATGATTTAGATTGCTTTTTAAATTGTGTGTTTTCCCTTTAAACTCGTCTCTAGCTCCTGTCTAATTATATAACCTGGTAGCGTTAGACAGAAGCAGATTATGACATGGTAGCTGACAGAACGTGTGATATGAGAGCATTCGGTTGCCGCCCTAAGGCTGTGATGTCCTGATCAAGGAGGTCACGGGACGGGTGGCCTTATTTTGACGGGGTTCTGGCCTGCTGTCTGTACTGCCTAATGTGATAAACCGACAGCAGCGACCCTGTGCCAAAGAAATGACAGGTGCTTGGCATGGTGCAGCCTCTGCATTATCCCTCTCTGCTCCATGAGGGGGCAGATTCCTTTTTTGGTGCAATCATCGCCCTCCTCCCTGTTTGTCCTCAGGTGCTCTTCAAGATGGTCCTGGGCAGTGCCAAATTCGGAGAGGCTGCACTCTTTCTCAGCATCGTCGGAAGCGCAAACTTTGTTTTTGTCAGCTTTGTGCCGGTCATCCTGTACTTCACACGCGTCGAGTACATCGGCTCGCCTGCAGACATCCCGTGGGCCTACCTCTGTGGCGTTGCTGGCCTGCTTTTTGGTATGTGAAGACAAAATGTGATTCAATATGTTGCATAAACATGACACTGTACTGATCATGTAACCGATGAATGTCCTGCTTCTTTATGCATCTTTCCACAGCTTTCAACGTCTTGGTGAACTTTGGCATTGCCATAACATACCCAACATTAATCTCCCTTGGCATCGTCTTAAGTGTCCCAGTGAATGCCAGTAAGTCTCTCCGCTTTCTTACGGACATAAATTAATTGAATTGAAGGACTTTTAGATCCAGTCAGCATTTTTTATGGCTCTAAAAATTCCCCCAAATGGTTTTCATGTTTAATGAAACAAAGTGGAATAGTTTGGCTGAACAATTTCTGATTTTATGTAGAAAAAAAAACGAGTATTGATCATGTTGATTTACTTACAAATTTGCATATTTATTGTTCAAATGAATCCTGATTTCTATGGATATTAATACAATATTGACAACAACTATGAGGGAAAGTGTTGCAGGCAAGAATGCAGATGGTTACAGGCAGGCTGGTGAACTTAACAGCTCATAGGCAAGAAGTGGTATCCAGGCAGGTAGGAAGAACCATGGCTTCCAGTACAAAAACTCTAAAGGACAAAGTACAAAAAAAAAAATCAATGGAACAAAGCAATAACGATACAAACTGCTGTAAAATGCTGTAAAAGGTCAGGTATGAAGTGGGGTTTGATGAGTCAGGAAATCAAGTTCTGCAGTTGTTCGAGAGTCCACTTGAAGCTGGCTGCAAAGCCAAGGAATCCTCTTTAGGTCCCATATAATTATGTCCACTTTTAGAGATGAAAATAAACATGTTTACAGCCTGGTTCCAAAAATGGATTTGATGCAAATAGCACAAGTCCTATTGAAACTCCACAGGCTTGATTTTTTGAATATAACATCAATTTTAGAGATATGAAGCTAAGAGTTTTGAAACATTTGCAGAAATTGGGGGCGTGGCCGAGTTTACTGACAGGTTGGCATGTTGCCAGGAGACTTAAGGACGCCTCAAATCCACCTCTTTGTCTGTTACTAATATGATCCAAAGTTAGTGAGAGATAGCATTTTCCAAAATGGTGACCAGCATCATTGAGCTTCTAAATGCTTCATCAGAGATAAATTGGTGATCTCACTGAGACTACGTCCGTGGAGGTAGATGATCTGGTGGAGGTAGATGATCTGGTGGATTGGAATAAAACAGGTGTATAGATGAAGAAGTGAGGGAGAGTTTGAGAGCATCTTGTAGAGAAATGGAGAACTGGTGACTGTTTAATGTTTTCACTCTGATGGTAGCTGTCATTATCTTGCAGTGGTGGACCTCTACACATGTGAAATTAACTTCAACACGGTGCGCCTCATCGCCGTGTGCATCATCTGCCTGGGTTTCCTCATGCTGCTGCTACCGGAGGACTGGGACCAGTGCATCATCCAGCTCAGCACAAAGCTGCGCAAGCGGGACGAGCCAGCAGAGGGCAGCGCGGAGGCGGGGGCCACCACAGGGCTCAACTGGAGGGGCAGAACCAGGACCTCCATGTCAACATTTGCACACTGACTGCGTTTAAAGGTAATAAACAGACAAACAGACGGACGCAGGGGAAGGGAGACACGTTAACCTCTCACAGGGTTGGTGTCGGGACTTTTTTGACCTGCAGCTCCCCGAGGAGAAAACAGTATTACAGACTGTCCTCTGGGTTTGTCACTCGTCAAGCCAAAAGGAAGAAGAAGAAGAAGCAGCAAGAGGAACAGGACTGTATTATTCATTTTGGCGTCCATTCCGCTCAGAAGTTATCCGAGTGGCTGCATGGACTCGTATCATTTGAAATCCTTCTTCACCAAAAAAAAATAAATAATAAGATCAGACAAAACTGATCGAATCACGATTTAATTTTGCTTTCATCATTCCATTCACGACATCCTCACGCCTGGGAAGACTTGCCAACTTGCCTGATATTCTTCAACTCTTAAAAAAAAGACAGACACCGCGTGGACTTGCTGTTGTACACAATTACACACCTTTTAAGATCCAAAGAAGAATGCCTAAAATGCTGAACGCCTGAAAACAAAAACAAAAAAAAGGGAGGCCAAACAGAGGCTGCCTTCAGGTTTGACTTTGACTACCTGCCTTTCATGCACTGTACATAGCTGATTTTCACACCCCTGATGTCCTGGGAGTTGTTGACCCTGATGGTCTCATCTGGTGTGAGGGGGGGGGGGACCTGTCTGGACATCTGAGCATCAAATCCGAGCGCTGAAGGAGCTTTCACAACGCCTCACTCTGCTCCTCCCCGAGAGAAGAGGTCAGGTCTCTGTTGATCACACTGATTGGCTCCCCCGCCCTCGCCCCCGTGGTTATTTGTTTCTCCTGTGGCCAAACTCCCACTCTGTCAACGCTGACACCCATTGCTCAGGCCCACAGATGAGTCACGCTAGATTTAACACCAGTATCTCCATTGCATAAGTTATCAATGCATGATACAGTTGAGTTTTCAGTCCGTCCATGATGCACATTTGCCTCACATATTCTCTTGCCGATATTGGCAGCAAACAGTATTACAATTCTCTTAACCAAGCAATACAGGTAAAAACATCTATTAACATGCGACTGTGAGTTTTATCCACTATCTCAGTCTAAGCCCACTTGCATGGTTTCAGGTGTCCCAGTCTTTTGGACTCAACAGCTCCATGAAATCGCCCTTTAATAACTTCAAAGCTATCACTGAGCCTCCCTGTGAACTCTAATCACATTATTGTTTTTCGGCTGGAACGTAAAAACTTATTTGCAGCATTGTTCGGTAAGATTGTTTTTTTGGATTAGTTACAGAGAAAAGATGAAAACTGTCTTTGCTGGGGGCTTGAGGAGAGTTTAACCCACTCATGAGAATTCACCATATTCACATGGCCGACGTTTTTCTCTGATGTCACGCTCAGGAAGGGAAGCGGAAATGCTGTCATGATGTCATGCTGATTTTCTTCCAGGTTTGCAAATCCTATAAAAACAGGATATTTAGATATTCTCATAAAAGTGCACCTAACAGTCATTTACGGATCAAACATTTGAATGTTTCAGACACAAATCTGCTCGACGCTGTCAGGAAAACCAATCAGCGTTTAGATTCCCCTGACCACCTGACATGCAGAAACATTTAAATTGACACTGTTTGTGACATGCAGTGATCGAAATATGTTATTTCAACCAACATTTTTAACCACAAATGTAATATACAGTCTCTAAATAATAAGTGTAATCATTCCTAGCCATCATTACTCATTAAATCAATCAATGGTCATTCAGGCAGGACGTCCACCAACGACCCCGAGGAGCCTGAGAGAGCTCAGGAGGTCACAGGAAAAGATGTGATGTGTTGTTGTAAGCTCAGAATTGAACACTTCAACATTGTTTTATGTGGTGATGCCTTGAGTGGTTAAATGCTAACATTAGCTACTTGAACTAACAGGTACGGTTCTTCTCACCCCACTTTGATTTAATTAATTTAAGGTGGAGTCAGTAGCATTTTTCATTCAAACTGGGCCCCTCCTCCTGGACTCATCGCCCCTTGAAATGACTTAGTGTGTACGTTTACTGCTTGTGCCTACACTGCAAGCTACCACATGCTATTATAGCTGAATTGTATCCACTCCTAAACTCACCTGTGGGTGGTCATTAGCTGCACTCCAGAAACATCCAGTCAACTTAAACAAACCAAAACATCAAAATCCAGTCAGAGGACGGGGTCTCTGCAGACACAATCAGCACCACACATGTATGGAGGCCCAGAAGGGACGATTGAGCGACATTACTTTTGTCTTAAGTCTAATGCCCCGAGTCCACCTAGCATTTTTTTCCGTGCAGAAAAGTGCTGGCTGTGCACTCAGAAGTGTTTTCATGAAGCGTTTGTGTGCACATCCGTCCTGTCTCTATGACAACAGTCTGTTCACAACACTGGCTGCCGTATGACCGTGAGCGCTCAATACAAAGACGCTTGGAGCTGCTTTCTGCTGCGAACGCTCGCTCCTCATTGAAAACAACTGAAAAAGACGATGGCGCTCAGAAAAAGACGCTAGGTGGCTAGGTAAATTCTACATTTTTTTGGGGGGGGGGGGAAAGCTGCTGACTGCCTTTAAAATTATACATTTTCAGTTTTCCCAGCTGATAAATCAAGAACTTGTGAGAAGCAGGAACGTTGAAGGATGTGCCGCTTTTATAGGATTTGCATTCTTGGGACACACAAGTACGACATGCTAACAACATTTGAGCTTCCCCCTCTGAGCGTGACATCAGGTGATGTTTAAATATGCTGACACATTGTTCCACCTTTACACTTTATGAAAAAAACCTGTAGTTTACTGAAACACATTTCTTAAGGCAAGTAAAAAAAAAACCGATGGAGATGAAGCTGAGAGAGAACGAGGCCCCACGCCTTGCAAAGCGACGGATGGATACTCTGCCTTGTTGTGAATGTATGAACATCACTCGACCACACACGCTCGCTATCTGATTTTTTACAGACTGCTGCAGAGACACTCTTTAATACTTCCCTTCTTGATGACTCAGTTGCTTTTTTTTTTTTTTAAAGGGAGATCTCTCAAAGCTTCGTTTTGGACTACTTTTCTACTACTTGTTTTTTTGTTTTGTTTGTTGCATTTGGTTGCTTAGTAACCTGGAGGGGACGGTGAGTAACATCTGCAGGAGGAGCATGCACATAACTGTACGAGCAGATACAGCTTGACCGGTCCACGTCACTGCCTTTTTTTCTTTGCAATATAGAGTACATCAGCACTGTTTCCCATTGTCATACTCTATGACAATAAATAATAATATTGTATTCCTCTGGAATTATTGCGAGACATAAATGTAAACCTTTGTAAGGAATGATGATTTTTACACTGCAGATGCAACATATGATTATCACGTTTGAGGAAGAGATATTAGGAGTGCAAATAAAAGACGGGTTTACTCGATTTACTGCTGGGTGTCTTCAAGTGTAATCACATGTACTATATAAAAGATTTCTTTTCAATACATTTCTTTGTCTGAGTTTGTTTTCTTAAGTTTTTCTACAACAATTGACTACTCTAAATGGCAACATATAGAATACAGTGCAAAATACACTCCATGTTTTTCTAACACTAATATGTGCCCCTAGTCTGTCTACAAACCCCCCAATTATGAGAAAAGTCTTTCAGAAAATGTGTGCTCAAACAGGCCGTTTGGAGATTTTCCCTTCATGACATCACAAAGGGCAGTAGCCCCTCCCCCAGGTGGGTGACACTCCCACAGCTAGGTGTTTGTTCTGTCCTCTGAGTCTGCCTTCTTACTGTAAATAATAAGGCATAGAGCGAGAAAGCACCGAGTACACACTTCCAGAGAGGGGGCGTGGTCAGACACAGCTCATTTACATATTTAAAGGTACAGACACAGAAACAGCCTGTTCTGAGCAGGGCTGAAATAGAGGGGTTTATAGACATGATCAAAGACAGGATCAGAGTGGATTTAGAACAAGACACTTCAGAAACACGTTTCAGGGAGCTCTGAGACTTCTTTAAACCCGTTGAAAAGGAGGATAATATGTGACCTTTAACCTGCGACTGTTGTTATCGTCTGTTAATCATTGTGGTCATCTTTGAAAGTAAAAATGTAACATCAGCCACTCGCATGTAAAACCATGTTTCCAAAATAGTGAAGACTTTGATTTAAAGTTATTTTGGGATAAAAACAGAAAGTGATGATTGGTGAAACACTGAGCACAAGGACACTGTGTCAAATATTGAAACCGATAAATCAGTCATTGTTTTATAAATTATACGCCCATTTTCAATTTGATGTCGATCACATGAGGCAGGATCATGTTTACCCCCCTGTAGCTTCAGCTCGTCTTTTAACTACACTCCAAATAAATATGGGTTTCAATCTTTTGCAAATCTTTACTTTTGTCATTTTATATTTGACACTGTGTCAACTTTTTTCTGGAAACAGTGTTCAAGAGATTTTTTTATGCTTAACTTTGTCTGATATCATAGTAAAGTTTTCATAGTTTAACACCAGTATTGTATCAGATTTCAATATTAAAGTTTGAGTTTGTAACCTTTAGGTCAGACATAATAAGGTCAATGATGCCAATTTAGGCTTTAACAACTTGTATTTTGTTTCTTTATGTCTAACAGATAAATTGAGAAGACAGTTGAGAGGGTTCATAATTATAAAAGATGTTGATTTTTAGATTTCTATTCAAATCCAACAGCATCTTCAATTGTCAGTCTTAACAAACATCATGCTCCACTCTCACTACAATCTGGCCGAAGAAGAAAGTGGCCTGACGCTTTTTGGTCAGAGCAGAGAAAGGTAGTCTGCTGCCCTCTTGTGGTCGAGAGGGGACCTGCAAGCAGTCCACCCTCTTACATCCTCCAGCAGCATCTTGCTCCCTCAAACAAGAGGGAGAGATGTCTTTGTGGTGACACAGTTTGCATTGATGCTCCTTGGAGTAATGTTTGAAGTCGGTGCTCACGGTAAAAACGGAGGAATAATCATCACAGTTCAGAGTCTCAGAACAGGAAGGCGGACCAGGGTGGGTGGTGACGAGGGTATTGGGGTCATCTGCTCTGACCTCCTCTCCCCTGCAGACAAAAATCCCAACACCTGCTCGGATCTTTTGCCCCAGTCCCCGCAGAGCGCACTGGAAACGCTTGCTGAGCAGAGCGTACAAAAGAGGATTGATGTCAGAGTTCAGCAACACCAGCAGGTGTGAAAAGGTGACGGCAGGGGGCGGGACCAGGCTGGTCTGGCCTGAAATTGCCGTTTCTGCAGCCTGAACCAGGGCCACACATATGAAAGGCGTCCAGCAGAGTAAGAAGGCTGAGATAACCAGAAATAAACGCAGAAGTCCTTGGTGGTTTTGGTGATGCTGCGACAGGGAGGTGAAGAAACGCCTGGATGTTGAGTTATTCTTCTCTGGAGCAGAATCAGGGAAAGCAGAGCTCATATAATGCCCCTGTTCCTTTCTTATCTCAGACACAAACTCTCCGCTTATGTGATAAATCAGTCTGGAGGGGCAGCACTGGTGAGATGAACCACATGGAGAAGAGGCAGAGTCTTGATTCCTGCTGCGCTGCACCGATTCCTCCAATGTGTGAATCCTCCTGGCATGGCTGCGTGCAACCTTAACAATGTTCCCGTAGCAGAAGAGGATGACCCCCGCGGGTACGAGGAAGGAGAGGGCGGCCGTGAAAGCCGCGTAGCTGGAACTGCTGGACCAGTTGACTGCACAGCTGTACACGGGCGCCACATAACTGATGGAGCCCCAGCCGAGCAGGGGGGGGCAACTGGTGAGCAGAGCCTGCAGCCAGATCCACATCACCACAGCGCCGGTCCTCCACGGGGTGCAGCGAGAGCTGTAGCGCAGGCAGTCCATGATGGAGTGGTAGCGGTCGAGGGCGATGGCGGCTAAAGTTAGAACAGAAGCTGTGCAGTAAACGGAGGAGGTGTAGCCCACGTACAGACAGAGACCCTGCAGGAGAGGAGAGACACAGAATCTCACCAGTTAGCTGAAAGCTCCTGTGAGCTGGTAATGAAACAGACTGTTTTTAAATGACATGAAGAGGCATCAATTTTAATGTCAGACAGGACCATGCAAAGATACGATTTCCCCCTACTGCTGAAGGTCTAAAAAGCTGGTGTAGGAACATTTTAAATATGGGGAAAATGTTGAGATTACACCCTGAACAGTCCAGGAAGATAAAGAGTATAAATTGCTGTCACTACGTTGACTTTAAATGACTTCAGACACTGATGCTGTGATGTAACAAAATCTGAAAAGCTCATCCTAACTCAGGACGGAGGTGACTCACAGCACAATCCACCCATCCACGGTTCATGATGGACAAGGCAACAAACGGCATCACTCCGACGCCCACCAGGAGGTCACTGACGGCCAGGTTCATGACGAGCACTGACGTCACCGTGTGGAAAGTCTTGTTTGCAGCCACGATAACAATGACGAGTATATTACCTACACAGGAATACACACAAGAAGACACCGCTTGTGAGACTAAATGGATTCTAAAGCAGCAATCTCATCAACTCTCAATAAGCAAAAGAGAAAAATCTACACAGAAGTCCACGTGTGAATTACAAACTGAATTCAGGAAGTTGTGGACACTCTAAATGTGCTTTCTCAATAAGAGCTAATGAAGACTTCTCTATCAGTTAATTCAAATAAATCAAGTACAAAACTTTTCCGAGCATCGTTATGGTGCTAGAACAAGAATGTTTTATGTTCCATTTAACTTTGAAACTGCATTTTTATGACCTTATCTGAGAAAAATAAGAGGATCATCGAGTTAAAATCAATAGAAAAAGCTGTGAGCTAAAAATGGAAAATGTTGTGTTCTGTACATGCTATGTTTAAAATCAATCAAATCAAATCAAATCAAAACCTCTGTACCTGTCACAGCTCCCAAACACATCAGCACCATCAGGACCTCCAGGACCAGGTGGGCCCGCCCGGACACACCGAGACCTGCGGCCCCTGTCCAGCTCACGTTGCCCGCCTGCGATGCGTTCTGCAGAGAGGACCCGGACTCGGACCCGGGCTCCATGTCCCATTCAGAACAGCTGCTGTCCTCACATGATGAGACTCAGTACACAAGTGACTGGATGGAAAAAAGAAATGAGCGCGATCAGATGTTCTCCTGTCTGCCCTCCTCCTCCCCCCCCTCCGGTCGCACAGTCTCCAGGTGAACGCTTTACTCTTTGAAAAGAGGAGGGCAGGAGGGCGGGAGGGAGGGAGGGGGTACATGAGCACCTGTTTTAACCCCTTCAGCTCAAATCTCAAACAATAATAAAGGAGAAAACGACATAAAATATGTCATAGCATTTATTTATTCAAGCATGTAAGAAAGTTTATAAAACCACAAGTTGCAACAAAATAAAAACCTTAAGAAACGAAGATGATGCCTATCGATAAAGCAGCATTATATATATATATATATATATATATATATATGAATGATATTCTCCTGGGTGTGGAGATTATAGTCCAGTCCTGCTGCTCTGAGGCAAAAACTAATTGCTCACATAAATAAGACACTTTTCCTCCTCAAATGAGAACATTTCCGTTAATGCTGCCGCTCCACTGATACTCAGATTGCCTCCATTAATATCACGGCATGCCTGCTGGAATATTAAAATTGCAATAACCAAAGCCGATCACTATTCATGACTCTCATTAAAGCGCATGAAAAGTGTCCTCTTGAGGCCCGCTGACCACGGTAACAGACTGTGTGGAGCAGTCTTCATGTTTCTCATGCAGGAGGATTGGAAGTCGTGTCCTTCAGGCCAAGCTGTTGCTGCATGATGTCTTTTTTTTTTTTTTAATTTTCAGTCAGCTGGAGTTGAACTTGAGGTGAGGTGTTGCCGTGTATATTCCCAGATCAGCAGCGCGGCGCTCACGTGCACGTTGAGCGAGCGGATGATGCCTTGTTGAGGGATCTCCACGCACACGTCCAACATCTGGAGCAGGTTGGCGGGAATTCCTTCTCGTTCGTTACTGCGAGGTAGAAAAGAGAAAAACAATACAATGCAAACAGTTACAATGAGATTTTTAATATCGACATTATCCCCCATGTTTATCACTCACACTTTTTTTTGGTTGGTTCAGAGAATCACAGAAACCTTACAGAAGTAAACGCTCTATATACAGAGCTCGAGCCTCTACATGTTTAGCTGAGTTTTTCCTAACAGAAGCATACAATTTTTTATTTTGAAGAGGACAAGAGTGAGACAAAAAGAGAAGAAGGGAAATTCCACTTTTACACTCTGCTGTTGGAGCATGCAAACCCACAGATCAGTATTACACTCACATGCATCTAATTAACGTTAGAATATGCATCAAGTCAGCAATTTGCAAACATCAACTCCCAGACATCTGATACATAACATCACACCATCTGTTTTCAGTCACACACTGCTGTGTATCATCTTCAACCAAACAATATTTTTTTAGTAAACTGAGTGTTTATACTCCGTTTAGTGATGCTATCTCGATATTTTAACTCAACCCGTAGCATGAGCAGTCAAGTTATTGCTCGTCAGCTTTCACCGTCATGAGACATGAGCTTCATGCACAGATGTCTCCAGAGCTGCAGACCAAAGAGTAATCAACACAGCATACATCCAGATGCAGCAGTATGGGCGATGCAAAGCTCACATAAAGAGGTAATGAGCCTGGCGTTCAGCGAGCCTACAGGAGGAGGCCACACATTAGGAAAAGGGTGATTTGATGAGCTACACTTCTCTCGAGTGCCACCGAGTGAGATAATAGCGACCTGATGAGAGATTAAAGCGGGGCGTGCTGCGCTGAGGAGAGCGCAGCTGTGAAGGCACTCAACATTCAGCTCACATGAAGAATGTTTAAGTTCACAGCTCGGTTTGCATCAGAGTGAGAACATTAAAGAGCTTCTATTATGATCATTTATTAATTGTTTTAGTCATTGTTCAAGCAGAAATTGCATAAATCTGGAGGTTTCAACTTCTTTACTGTGAGGTTTTGTTGCTTTACTTTGGCGTTAATGAATGTGAAGGGAAAAAAAATGATTTTGAAAGTTTCATGACAAACTTTATTGAAAGATATGAACAAGTCACTTAAAGTTTTCAAAAACTTTCTACTGAAAAATGCGCATAGTTTCTGAAAGTTTCTTTAAATTTCCATTGAAAATTCAAAAAGAAATCAGAAAGTTCCCTAAAATGTCTACTGAAAAATAAAAAGGAAAAAAAATCCCCAAACATTTCCTTTTGTAAAATTCCTGAGAATCTTGTTGTCCTAAAATGTCCCATTAATATTCCTGAAAATCTCAGAACCTTCCATTGGAAATTCCCTTAAAGTTTCCAAATTTTTCTACCTGCTCACCAGCCACACTCACATTTACACCTACGGCCAACCCTGTTTTGAAACTACCACCCCTGCCCTGTGGTGGCCCTATACAAGCACGGTGACGATGCAAGGCGTCACTTTGCACGTCTGACTGACGGCGCTGTGAGGCAACAGCGCTCACCACCGTGCAGCAAAAAAACTAAAACATCCATTTGATAAAGTTGGTTCAAAGATCAGCTGTGATTGCACGGTCACTGTTACTTAATGTATGCTGTTGAATTATTATAAAGAGTTTTGATTTTATCCAAAGACACCTACATGCAGTGCTGCTTAAAATTAGTTGGCAGCTTGTTGGAAACTGCTGAACTCTCTTTTTATTCATCGGCTGATTCACTCTTTGACAGACGTTTTAATCTACAGAGCTCTCTGTGAACCAGTTTGAACCCGTCAGTGTTTGTATAGTGGAATAAGAAGTGAGAGAGGAAGGGGGTGGGGTTAAGAGGAGTGTACATTTGCAGGTGAAAACTGGATGTTGGTTTTCTGTATTGTTGGATGTATGTTGTAACTGAAAGCGGTTACTGACTGATGTTCACCTGAAAAACTTGTTGAAAATAATGACTAAATCAGGACACACGTCTGGCTCCTGTTGACCTGACTGATGAAAGCAGCAGGGAACAATCACAAACAAACACCTCACTACTGTCTGACAAAAATGTGCCCGGTGATTTCATCACACTGCTTGTATTGCATTTTGTAATTTATTTCCTGAGCTCTCCTCCTCGGGGGAGAACCAATTATAGCCCAGCATGCTCAGACATGTTCACTCCATGGAGAGGAGAAGCGCATGGCCCCGCAGGGGGGAAACAGAAAAACCTGAGAGATAACGTTAAACAGCCTCGTCAGCTCGCACCTTAATCTATTTGAGAGCCACGAGGGAAACGGGGAAGGCAGAGACCCTGCATACATTAAGTAACCGCACTGATGGAAAATAATGTGACTCTAAAATCTGTCCTACCCGAGGAGTAGAAGCGTCTTCTCGGGGAACTGGTAGTCCTGGAGGCTCTGGCTGTTGGCGGTCTGCTCCACTCCGACGATACAGTAACCTTCACTCTTCTTCATCTGCAGGAAGTCGGCGAGCTCTGCAGGCTTCACCTGATGGACAGAAACAGTTTATATAACCTTTCTGTTTCAATCACACAAAGCAGCTAAGATACATTTGACAGTGTGGACCATAAATTCAGTCAATCTGCTGAAGATATGTTCACTTGTTCCTGCTTCATGTGCTGGATGAAGAGATGGAGCTTTGATGATGAAGAGATGGAGCTTTGATGAAGCTAAACTTACCCGAGCATTTACCTCGCACTCTCAGGTCTGCGGATGCAAACCTCCTGCTGCTGCTGCTGCTGCTGCCCCCCCCGCAGGACAAACTATCGGTCCTGGGGGGTCAGGGCTTTCTCCATTGCTGCTCCCACCCTCTGGAACTCTCTCCCAAATAACATCTGAGACTCCCCCACACTCCCCTCCTTCAAGATATCCCTCAAAACTCACCTCTATATCACTGCCTACAACCACTAACTCCCCCCCTCCCAACCCTACATTACTTCTTCATTGTACTGTCCTCGTCGTTTTTTGTTTTGTTTTATTGTTTTATGTTTTTGTCAAAGCTTTTTTAAATTTTCAGAAAAGCGCTATATAAAACTAACGTATTATTATTATTATTATTATTATTATTATTTAGCAACGTCATAAGATTGATGACTCCTAAATGTACACATGTTGTTGTTGTTGTTGGTTACGGCAGCAGAAATCAGGAGAGCAAGGAGGTGGGATGTGACTACATGGAAGATTTTTTGAAGATTTATTTTATTTATTTTTTTGCCTTCATTGGAGAGACAGGACAGTGGACAGAGTCATAAATCAGGGAGAGAGAGAGAGAGAGTGGGGAATGACATGTGGCCAGACCCGAAGCTGGGCCACCCACCCTCTGCACATGGGGCACAACGACCAACCCACTAGACCAACAGCGCCCCCTGAGTCCGTTGTCTTTTAATCAGAAGGTTGCCAGTTTGATCCCAGTTCTAGAAGTCTACCAGTCAAAGTGTCCTTGGGCAAGACCCTGAACTCTGAATTGATCGCTGTGGCTTTAACATCAGTGTGTGAATGTAACGTAGCATCCTCTGCCATCAGTGTGTGAACGGGTAAAAGCATTTTGAGGGGTCAAGGAGTCACATAAGTACAAGTCCAAATACCATTTACACATCTTTCTAAAACTTACTGAGACAGCTAACTCAAAGACAAAGTGATCATCATGACATCTGGAGTAACATGTACCTCTAACAGAGGAAGCCAAAGCTCAGACGAGACGCTCAGGGACTGGAAGTGTTTGTCGCTGACGTGGCGGAGGTTGTCCAGAACCAGAGCGCTGGCACCAAAGATCTCACAGGTCCTGCACAGACCTGGAACACAAACAAACAAACAAACAAACAATGTTATTAACACCTTAAAGTGACATCTCTATGTTCTCTTTATTTATAACACCACCATGCAGCTGAAGAAACGTCGACTCATTGTTATATTTTAGACATAAAACTGATGTTGTCAGACATTCTTAAAGAAGCCACATCTGTAAAGTACGCAGTTAAGTATTCACAGCACAGCTGAGCTGATGTTCTTATTTACATCATCGCAAATCAATATTGGTTTTAAAGTCAGTCTTTGTGTGTCCTC